ACAGCTAATGTTGGTCTATCTGGACCAAAGCCTGTAAGCTAATAAATCTCCTTTCTCTTTTCCTTTATTTCTTCCTTCCTTTCTTTTTATCCTTTTCTTTCTATCATCTTTCTCATAGATAAATGGATGGATACATTGTAGATGGATGATAGAAAAGTTATAAGTCTCTCTTCCTCCAATCTCCTAATACTGATGACCTGTATAAAAATTACTTCTGACCCATGGTTCATAGGTATCTCTCTGATGTCCCAAAGGATTTTTATACTTTCCATCATCAACATATTTCTAACTCAAGCACTTTTTCTATGACCTAAACAATCTACTCTGTTGCTCTTCTTCCAGGCAGTCAGTATCATCCCTCTTCTACTCCCATCATTCATCTCCTGGGTTAACGTTGACTCCATCTCTACTCTTTTTGACTCTATTCCCTTCTTAATACTTGGAGGTGTTGATTTTGCTCCCCTTGCCTAACAATAATGACAACAGTGGTTTCTGGCATGTGTGAAACCTGTACTATGTGTTAGTTATGGTGTCAGTCCTTTACATGGGTGATTTCATTCAATCCTCACTACATTCTTAGAGGTGATTTTCCTACCCCTAGGTAAAGATGTGTAAACTAAGCTCAAAATATTAGAGAAAATGTAACAGGCTGAGAATATAAATCACGATTAAAGCCAATGTTCTGACCTACTTTTGTAAAGTCGACATTTAAACAGTTAACGTTTTTACTCTTTAATGAAACCTTTCCCATCTCTCCTGTCTTTTCTTCTCCTGCACTTCCGGCACTTTCCACCCATATTTATTATTATTTACATATTGGCCATTTATTGTTCCCTTAGCAAGTAGATTTCATAAGCATGCTCAGAAGGTCACAGTTGCTTATCAGCAGTAAATGAAGTCAGCCTGGACCTGGCCTCCTAGAGACCAGGTGGAAGGAGACAACTACACAAATGTACCATAAAATCCCAATGATAATCTCTATGGAGACAAACTTCAGATGTGCAGGATGCATTGGTCCCTAGTTGTCATGTGAGTACATTTAAGTCATACTGATTTACACATTGTGAACTTGCTTACAACTCAGCAAGCATTAAGTATGACATCAAGGCATTAAAGGGGCGAGTTACACTAGAAATTGTTACTTTTAATCAGAAATGAAAGTCAGCCTTAAGAAATGGAATTGTGTAAATTTTTGATCTTATGCCATGAGTTACAGGAAGAAGATATGTAAATATTTTGGAGGAAATAGGAAAACTGATTTGACAAGTTTGTCTCGGTGTAAATTTCTGAAATCAGGAAAGCAACTATTAAATTTGGTATGAATTTGATGGTGGTTAGAATACAGCACACTTCATTCAAATTATTGCCAGATGCGAACTGTTAACTGGGGGGCTGGGAGGACAAATGAGCACCTGAGAGGCCTGATTATTGGTAAATGCTATATTCTACTTGTCCAATTGCCATCTGGTAAGTACAAAAGTTTAACAAATGACTTACAAAAACCAGAAATGAAAGGCCCAGATACGGTATTTCAGATTTCAACGTCATGTGAGAAGCACCCATCCAGTTAAAAAATGACATTTTTAATCAATTTCAGCCTGCTATCTAAGTACTTCTGACTTGTCAGCCAAAATCATAATAAATGCTCTGAGTTACTGACATCTTAAGAGCGAGATACTGTAATCCAATGATTCAAAAACAGTACTACTGAAATAAATAAACATGTAAAGGACTTGTTGACATGTACAAAACATTAGAAACTTTAAGCAACTTTTTTTTTATTTTTTACCTTTATTTTTTACCTTTTTTACCTTTGAGTACTTTGTTATACCAAATTGGAAATAGATTTAGTTATTGGGATAGATGATTAAAATAAATCAAAATTAAAAAAAGTTTATTTGCTCACCTCAAGTATCAAAACGTTAGTGCTAATTTATAGTGCTACCCTGTGAGCAGGTATGGCATGGGGCTTGCTGGAATGAGCACATCAATTCCCTCTGTAACCTCACTATGAAGATAGTTTTGAGCATGTAAATTGGGTAATGCTAATGAACAGCTTGGAGTTTAGTGATGAAGATGCTTTAACATTACACTGAATGTAGCAAGATGTACTGCTTCAGGAATTACTGGAATCTTGCCTCAAACTATGGACAGCACAGAACAGGGAGATTATGTTTCTTAACTGTTGGGCTTCTCCTCTAGGAGAACGAGCAGGTACAGCAAACACACTCATATCCACATGCAGTGGTGGCCTTGCTCTTGTGTAATCTGTCTAATAGCCCTGCTGTGAGTGATGCTGCAGTTTGGATCCTGAATGTCCTAAAGGCCCATGGATGCTGGTGAAGTTGGGTTGCTACGATGCTGCCAATTGATATAAAACCTTTAGGGGGTAGGACCTTTAGGGGGTGGGACCTAGAGGGCAAAGTTAGGTCATCATGGGTACATCCCTGAAGAAGTACTGAGACCCAGTCCCTCTACTTGCTTCCTCTGCCACTCTACAGGTTCCTGCTACACATCACAGACTGGGCCCCAAGGCAATACCAATAGCAAGTCATTTGACCAAAACCAGGAAGCATCATGCCCCCCCGTGTAAACATCCAAGGCTTTTTGTCACAGTGACATAAAGCTGGCTAACACATACTTAGCTTTCAATCCTTTTCTTAAACTCTGAAGATTTAAACTGCTTTATTCTGGACAACGTTTGTTTTGTACTATATTTCTGTTTTCCTTAAAGTAGCATTTCTTCTCCTGGTCCATTTATCTCCTGCTCCTTTGCTTGGCTACTAGCCAGCTGGTGGACAATGGAAGAAGCCTATTATTGTGATATATTATCCAAATACCTTTGGTTCACTCAAAGCCACACACACACACACACACACACACACACACACACACACACACACAAGTTAATAAGTTAGGCTTGTCTAACATGGTTTTGATAAAACAAGACATAATATTTTATTCTTATAATAATTGCACCTTAAATTATAGTACTTGTTACCCATTGAGAAGTAACGTTACACTTTAAATTACTTAATTATTTTCACTTTGATTCGATTATGCATTCATGTTTTAATTACCACAAATTTCATGACTGAGTATTCTTGTTTTATAGCTAGATCTAATTCTAAAAGTAATGTAGAAAAAATAAAATGTTCTAAGTTAGGGAAAGATAAGTTCTAAAACTAATCATTTCTTGACAACATTAATAAATTAACACAGTTGTGGTGGCTCCTCAAATAAGTCAAGAATACACAGCATCAAATAAAAATGTTCTCTCAAGATCCAGCGATTGCAAGGTATGATTTAAATTACAAAATTTCATAGTCTCAAAATGGCGTGCTTTGCAGAAGATTAACAAAAGCCTTTTTTCCGAGACTTATGTCCTAAAGAGACTGAAGTACAAAAACACTGAGAGTTGAGCATCTTCAAAGGCCACTAGTCCTGAGACACCTGGACTACCCGAGCAGGACTCTAGCCCACCGCTGCCACCGGGAAGGAGAGGAAACCACTCGCTAAACCAGTCTCCTTGAGGCTACAGGAGGAATAATGGAGTGGTGACGCTTCCAAGACAAAGCAGGGGAGCAGGGACTGCTCACCTCTCAAACCGCCACTTGCTGAGACGGTGAGGAAGGACCCCATTGCAGCGGCCCCACTGCCTCACACTGGCAGTCCTCTGCCCTGCTGCAGGTCAGGCTCCTAGTGAGGTGCAACACGTCCCGGGCTGATGGCACTCTTGTGTCTCAACAGGTCCCAGGTGGCATCCCACAGCTGCGCCCAGGATTCCTGTCTTTGGTCTTGCCCTATGGTGGCTGCCTCTAGACGCTGCCAGTCTGATTTCTCTCTGATGCCTACAGAATTACTTTCAAACCTGTGAACACATCGTACAAGACTTGGCCTGACTTGCTCTTACCTATCTTCCCAGGTGCCCCTCCCTTCCTTCCCCACCTATTTCCAACACACCCAGCCCCAGCCTCTGGGCCTAAGCACTGACTCATGCTTTCTCTGAAATGCTCTCCTTTGTATCGGCCAGCACAATTCCTTCTCCATAAAGCCATTCTTAATATCCTAGCTAGTGTCTACCCAAGCACTCTACTTACATACGTGGTGTATTACATATGTCCCTTTCTCCTCCAGATTGCATCTTAAGCAGACCCCACTCCCATATCTAGTTTATATGGCAAATAAAGGCTTGTTCCTAGTGAGAGATGTTGCCTTGTTAGGAGGCAAGGCAAGCCTTTAGATCACTGGGTCTATGCCTTTTGAAGAGAACGTTGGAACTCCCGCCCCTTTCCCCACTCTCTTTTGCTGTGCAATCACAGGATGAGTAGTTTTTGCTCAGCTGGTTCTCCTACATAGGTGCAAAAAGGACCCTGGACTAAAATGTCTTCAACTGGCCAACAGATAACATAAACCTTCTCTCCCTAAGTCGATGATCGTAGGTATTTGTTACAGAAACGGTAAACTGGCCAGCATACCTTTATGAAACTCTTTTGAAGCAGGGACTGCTTGTCACCTAATGTATGTAAATGCCAAGCACATAGCAACATTTTGTATTTGGCAAATAGTGAATGAACAATGTTTTATACAACTTTTTCCTCATTAGAGACAGAGGCTGAGAGAAAGGAAATCGAGACCACTGAAAAAGCCAAGCTCATTATTAAAAATAAAAAAATAAAAATAAAAGAAATAAGGCCCTAGTATTTACTTAGAACTTGGTAAGAGTGATGACTGTCACTCTAAAGCTTGGTCTTTCCACTGGGTCATTAAGAATTTCCAACATGATTAAAGTCAAAGAGAAAACATCAGTTAAATCCTCCAGAGTGATCTCTTAGCATGGGTCTCCCCAGATCATAAGTCAGAATCCCAGGCAACATCTGCTTACCTGGGGCTCCGGATAAGGGGTTAAGGGAGCCCAGGTAGTGCTCACTACCAGTCGGCCTATCATGGCTCCTCCCATCCTGTGACCTTTGACCTACCACTCCTGAAAGCGTGCTTACTTTGTATCTGCTTTCTGATCTGGAAGGAGTGGGGATATGTCCTTTTTTCTTAAAGGTTGTGAAGTGTTTGCACTGAGGACACGGCTTGGTGCTGGAGTCAATTCGGCCAAGTTCCAAGAAGTACTTATACTTGATGGAGTCTTCATGGGTTAAATTGTAGACAACAGTTGTTTCCTCCAGGAATTCAAAACACTCTGTGATTGGACATTTGATTTCTACTTGGCCAAGTTGTACCTATGCGAAAGAACAGATGGAAAAGGAAAAGAGCACTGGTTATTAAAGTTCTCTGTTTTTGTTTTTGCATACAGCATTAATTATCTCATGCTTTCAAGAAAAGGTGATCAACTATCTTTCCAGATAGCATAATCAATAGTAGTCATTTTGAAACCTACACTGAGGACCGAAAACTAATCATGATCTGTAGGATGCTTAAGTGTTCTCTGACAGTTATGTTTGTGAACTCATTTGGTGATCCACAGGCTCATTAAAGAAGCAAATAACCATCCTACTTTTTTTTTTTTTTTTTTTTTTTTGGAAACTGCACAGTGAGAAAGCACGAAGGCAGAAGGCCAGCTATAAGATATGCAGCTGTGTTGGCACCCTGGGACCTGCCAACCAAGAGGCGTTTCAGAGACGTCAACCTCACCACAGTGTTCCAGCCCTATGCTTTGAGCACATTTTTTTAAAAAGAGTGATTTTATTTTATTTATTTTATTTCTCTATTTACTTATTTGTTTGTTTGTCTGATCACTTTACAGGATGATCCCAGCCCTCTTCCTCCCCTCCTCCCAGTCCCACCCTTACATCTCCCCCTTCCCCCCTCCCCTTCTTCTTAGAGAAGAGGAGTCCCCCTCCCCCCTGCCCATGGGTACCAACACACCCTGGTACACCTTGTCATATCCTCTCCCACTGAGGCCAGACAAGACAGCCCAGCTAGAGGAAAGTGATCCAAAGGCAGGCAACAGAGTCAGAGACAGGCCCTACTCCCACTGTTAGGGGACCCACATGAAGACCAAACTGCACATCTGCTACCTATGTGTAGGGGGTCTAGGTTCAGTCCATATATGTTCTTTGGTTAGTGGTTCAATCTCTGTGACTTACCCCACTTGGCCTAGGTTAGTTTGCTCTGTAAATCTTCTTATGGCATCCTTGACCCAAAAGAGATTTTATAAGCGTTTATGTTTAATAACTATTAGTTTATAACAATCATAAGCCAAGATTAATGCTTTCTTTGGCTCTTCCCTGACAATCACATAAATAGCTATGATGTCATTGCAATCTTAGAAATAAATAGGAAAACAAAGCAAACACACTGGTGTAAGAAAAATGAGAAAAGTCTGGGTTGCTGAGATGGTTCAGCAGGTTCTGCTTCTTGATCATCAACCTAATGATGTCAGTTCAAGCCCCAAGTCCCACATGATAGAAGAAAAGGACCAACTTCCAAAAGTTGTCCTCTGACTCCACAGGCATACTCTGCCACAAGCAAGCCTCCTTCCGTACACATACACACCAAATGAATAAAGATAAAACAGTTAAAAATACATTGGTGTTGCTATGACATTGTAAGTACAATGATAAAATCTGGTTGCAACCATGAGCAAACTTATCAACAGATGAGTATTATGGAAGATATTTAAAAAAGTAAACCTGTTTGTGACACATTTTCGACAACTTTAATGTAAAATTATATGGTAATTTATACTTTAACAGTGTACTAATATGGCGGTAAAGGCATTTATTTACAGCTAGGCAGACTCCTCTACGTTATTATCATGTTATCTCATGGCTTTTCCTGGCATCACCGTGTCCCCCTCAGCTTCCTTCCACCTCTTACCTACTTTCTCTCAAGTTCGTGTGAGACAAACAGCAAAGCCGAAAGTGAGTGTAACTTTAAGAGTTTTATTTTTAGTTGTTCTCTGTGGCCATGTTTTTTCTCTTCTCCAGACCATGTGTCTCTCCCCCTCTCCACTTCAGTCTTCCTCCGTTCTTATCTCGTGTGGGTGGGTGTTTTCTGTTTCCCAGCATGTCAGAACAGCATATCAAAATCAGAGGGTTGTAACCATCAAGTGAGTTTCCGGCGTCACCCTTCGCCACATACTGGGGATGGCGTGTGGAGGACATTATGGTGCTGTGGCTGGAGTTTCCCTTCACTCCATTGGGAAAGAAACATCCTGGTTCCCCTTTATTCAAAGTCTACTTTCTTCGCCTCTTCAAAAAGGAGTCATGTTGACATTTTCTGTTTTAAGCATCTTCTGTCATGTTTAACATGACTGTCATCAAGTTCCCTTTCCAATTGCTAACCTTCTTAGTGTATCCTTCAGCTCTGTGGCCTTCTGGATAAATTAATGTTGCAAGGTATCAGGAGTAAACTAGATTTTCAGACAGAGCCCAGGTTGGCCTTCAGCTGCCTTCTTTCCCACTCAGCCACCTAAATGCTACACATGCCTTTACACCTTGCTTTCAACTATGTTTTACAGTAAATTATTTTAAGTTGTACCTTAAGAAAGCTATCTTTATAAGCGTTCCATAGAGACAAAACACCCCCAGAACACTAAGAGTTGGGTTTTTGACGTTTGTAACAAATGCTTTAAAATGACAACATGTTCCTTCCTTTAATACTCTGTAGACATTTGCGAAGCCCTGCTAGGAACCAGACACCCAGGAAATTGCTGAAGCTAGCAGGGCTGATCAGGAATGACGTAGGCACAGTCTGGACCCAGGGTAATGATGGTTTCAGCCTGACAGGGCAGTGTGGATTATCATCAAAAGTTGTGGGAGGCTTGGTCACGACAGACCTGAGAGGGTCAGACTAACCTTCAGACTAAGTTTCAAGTTGAGAGCCCAAGCTCAGTGGGAGTTAGCCAATGAGAATGAAGCTGCTCCATGTAGCCAAAAGGAGCAACACGGTGAAAGGCCTGGAGGCAAATGCAGATCTCTCTAGGGCAGGGGTGCTGTGTTCTAGTTACCCCAACTGCACTGACGTACACAATAAACATTCATATGAACTTAAGATCACACTCTTAAAACAGGGTTGAAAATAAGGCTGGACCCCAAAGTGTGAGTACAGAAGAGGCTGTAAACACAAGCATGGATCAGAGCACAAGGGCAGAGCATCACAGCTGAGGATCCTGGGCATTTCCCCCTATAAAGCAGACAAGAACTCAGCTCTTAGCACACAGAAGCAGACTTTTTCGCACTCTAGGGCTTAAAAGCCTGGGCTACCTGGTCCCAGCTTGAGGTCTGGATTGAACCTCCATCTGCTTTTGTATTTATTTTAACCATGTAAGTGGTAGCGATGGACGCAGCATTTTTATAGCTATCTGGAAGCAGTCCTGTCTTACAGAAATGCCATGCCGTTTGGAGAGCAGAACCATCCCAGACATCCCAAGGACGAGGCTATCTTGTTACTGGTTGAGCAGAGAGTGTTTATTACCTCACCACACTAGGATGCCATCCAGCATCCAGCTTCTTGGCTCTTTCTGCAAACCTATTCCATTTCCATGGACACCCTGTTTGCTGTAGTTTTCATGCTCTCTATTTTTTCTCAAAATTCCAACACCCTTACCCCATACCGCTGAGGCAGTGACTTCACACAGCATTTTACTGATCACCGAGAGATGACATCAGGTATATATTACCCAACTTCCCACTAGCAATTCCATCAGTTTGTCTCCATCTGGCCCTCTCTCTTCTGGCTTCCTTTGGCATAAGATGGAACTGACTTCTACAAGTGCACAAAAGTCCATGGAAAAGTCTTCTGAGAGCTTTAGTTTCCCAGCCTGCTCTAAACTTACATATTCAGAATCTGAATTATTTTCAGGAAGCCAATAATTGGCAGTTGGAACAATGACTCAAGCCTTTCAATTATTCATACTTCCTCCTAAGGACAACCCTCCCCCTCCTCATGTACAGTGTGACTAATGACCTAGTTGACTCTTGGCAGCTACGTGTGTATCGTTTTCAGAGCAGCTTTCTCAGAAGATTTATCTGACAAACATCTAGAGCAAGCAATGTGTATTCATTTATTTATCCAATATATATTTTATTTATTCAAGGAAACATTTAGAAAAGCCCTTTAACTGTCTTATAAGCAATGGTTGATAAGCATTAAGCTTTTTCAATAAATTTTATTTCGGGGTGGTATGTGGTTCTAACAGCATGTCAGACAGTTAGTCACTTGTTGGACTTCTGCAAACTGTGGGCTTCATAAGGTATATAACATGAAGGACTTCTTTAGAGATGGAAGGAGATGCCTAAGCTAGGCTTATTGGAAGAATTTTTAAAACAAAGATTATAATTTTTGCCATAATGGAGAAGTGGCAGCTTTCTACTGAACTTGAAGAGCCTGTGATAAAGTTTCCATAGGCAAAGGAACCAGAGACTGTGGTTCCCAGACAAGAGGACTCTGACACGCCTATGTTCAGAACACAGACCTGGGGATTACCTTTACTAAGCCTGGGGCAGAAACATGGGAGATTAAGCTAAAGTGTCAGGTGAGGTATGATCATTCAGGCTTTACTGATCATATAAAGAACTCTGGATTAAATTATAAATTCAATATGAGTCGCTTCCAGGTTTTAAGAGAAGTAACATGTCATGTTAAAAAAAAAATCATTCAAGCTCTTCTTGGAGAATGTACCATCAGGAGCCAAAAGTGCAGACTAAGAAAATAGCAGCTGAAACCTGGCTCCACCAAATGCCCAGGGAGGAGCTGCTGATGACAGAACTTGGGTCAGTAAGGGGCAGCCAGTATGCAGTGAATTTTGGAAGTGAGAGCAATTGGGGTCTTTTTTATATTGACAAAAATGATCTGTTTTTATGCTACACAGCATGATGCTTTAGAAGAATATGAATACACTGTGGACTGGCTGTATTTGGATGCAACATTTATTATTTTGTAGTGGGAACACTAAAATCCTTAACAACCTTCATGCTTATCATTGTTAACAATAGTCCCCTTGAATTTATTTTTCTAACTGAAATTTTGTATTCTTTGACCAGCATTTGCCCAATAGCCCTTCTACCCATAGCCGCTAGCCTGGATAATTATAGCTACTTTCTGTTTCTCTGAGTTCATCCTTTTCAGACTAAGATCATCTAGCATTTGCCTTTCTGTGTCTGCCTCCTTGACTCAATGTGTCCCTCAACATTTGTAATGCTGTTGCAGATGACGGGATTTCCTCTTATTAAAGACTGAACATACTCCAACATGTGTATGTGCACTTAAGCATAAT